GTGGGGGGCACAGTGGGAACACGCCACTCTGCGATGTCCCCTGCGGGCCGCGTCGAAAGCCCGCGAGCCCGGGAAAGGGCAGGTCACGCCCCGGACACTCGTGTCGTGGAGCCGGTGTCACCTCAAAGCCCGGTGGGTTGAGGGACTCTCTGCCCTCGTCCCGCTCTTGTCACACTTCCTTTTCTGAGGGCCTGGACGGTGCTCCTCTCCCCGCCACCTCTGTCCCTGCAGGCTGCCTGCCATCGTGCCTGCTGGGCGGATTTTCGAGCTCTGGCACCCAGTCAGCCTGCGAGTGCGGAGTCGCCCCCAGCTTGTCACCAGGGAAGTCAGGTCAGGACCTCCTTGCTCCAGTTTCATCCTGTAGGCTCGCCTCCTCCTAGGGAGTGACAGTGAGCTGCTAGTCTTCAGGCTGTAAAAACTCAAGTTGACACTTGGTGCCAGCTTTGATAATATTTGTAACCTAAAGGCTGACATGAGCTAGGCTTGCAGCGCTTCAAGGTAGGCCGTGAGAGAAACAGGCGTCCTGTGTCCATAGTGCATCGCGAAGCATAGCTTATGTTTCCTGTTATATCCAGGCTCTGAGTAGAATGGCAAACCATCACATTTTTGTGGAAATGGGGATGGAGGTGCATCCGAAGCATACTGTTATGGGTGGGTTATATAAAGGAGATACGTGGGAGACACATTCACGATCAGTTTTCCCACATCCTGACATCAACAGTAGTAGCCATAAAACCATCCGTTAAAAATCACTGGTAAGTGAGGGAAAGGTGACTGGAGAAATAACTAGCAATTGAAAAGCTTTATTTCTCACACAAGAGTAAATGCTAGATGCACACTTAAAGAAAGAAAATAAACCATTAAAAATAGAAAATCTGTGGTAAAGAGATGGCGCAGTGGTTTGGAGAGCTTCCTGCTTTTCCAACAGACCCAAATTTGGTAACCAGAACCCAAGTCCTACTGCTCACATCTGTCTGTTCAGCTCCAGGGGAATCTGACCCCTTTGGCCTCTGTGAGCACCTGCACTCATGTGAATGTACCCACATGTAGGCACACATAACTAAAAATAGTAATTTTTAAATAGAAAATCAAAGGTGACTATACTGATAACCCTGAGATTAGTTATGAAGGTCTTTTCTAAGGCTTTTCTATGAACTACAAGAAATAACAAAGAATGTAATATAACCCATAAAATTGAAAATAGCCATAGAAAATATATTTGTATGATTTGCAAGAAAATATTCCCAACATACAATTCTTAAAAAAATCAAGTATAAATTTCAACACCTAAATAATAAAAATTGACAAAAGGTGTGCACATAGAATACTCTTGACCCATTAAAGCATTCCATTACATATATCCATAGAATGTGGGTTGTATTTGCCCAAGAATAAACGCAAAATACAGATCATAATGTACAAAACATGAATTCATGTGTGTTGATATATATGAGTACAAAAACCTAAATGTGAGACAGGACTGGAGAGATAGCTCAGTGGTTAACAGCACTGGCTGCTCTTCCAGAGAAAATTCCTAGCACCCACATGGTTGTTCATAACCATCTGAAATTCCAGTTCCAAAGGATATTGCACCCTCTTCTGGCCTCTACAGGCACAAGGCACACACGTGGTACACAGACATGTATGAAGGCAAAACTCACATAAAATTAAAAAAAGGAATGAGACAGTAATTTTTATCTTTTTGATGTTTTAACCTTGTTTGGGATTTTTAAATTCATAAATTTGTTTTATGAAAGTGAGGTAAAAAAAAAAGTGAAGCCATATTTTATTTTTTTAATTTAAGATGTTCCCGGGAAAGGAGAACCAGTTGACTGCAGGTCCTCAGTGTGTGTCCAAGTGTGTGATTTTGGGATCTGAGTCTAGGATGTGTTTGTTTGTTTGGTGGTCTTTTGCCATAAATTTGACTAACTTACCTATAGATATGCAAACTAACTTAACACTGGCATGTCTTGCTTCTGACTTTTCTACCTGGACTAACACCCTTCTCAAGTCCCTCAGATGTTTTTCACACTATCCTGTAATTCCCTCTACCACTGGAGTTGGCTCCTTCTGCACATATATCTTTCTGCTATATATTACACATTTCTTTTTTCTTGTCATTTGCTTTTGTATTTGTAAATTTACACACTATTATAGTCCCAGTACTAATAGAATTATGTAGCTTTTAAAGAGATACTTAGGTTACTTATGCTAATAAACAATTTAAGCAGGGTGGTGGTGGCACACACCTTTAATCCCAGTACTTAGGAGGCAGAGGCAGGCGATCTCTGTGTTCGAAGCCAGCCTGGTGGTCTGCAAAGCTACACAGAGAAACCCTGTCTCAAAAAACCAAAATAAATAAATAAACAACTTAAGTAGATTGCCAAAGCTACCATGAGGCTGGGGGAATAGAACTCAGTAAAAGAACACTTGCTAGCGTGTGTGAGACCCAAGGGAAGGAAGGAGGAAGGGTAGGATGCAAGACAGGAGCTGACATAAAAAGGAATGAAAACATTTAAGTGATTCAGTATAGAACAAATTGTAATCAAAAGCTAGCTGTACTAGTGAATTTTATCAAACCTTTTAGGAAAAGTTCCATTCCTATCCTGTCTCAGAAAACAAAACATTAAACAACACTCTCCAGTTTCATGGGTTCAACATAATCTTAGTACCAAAATTTGTCAAGAACATTTTGTAAGAAAATCACAGACCAATATTCTTCATAAACACACTTTTAAATTCTCAAAATATTAGCAAATTAAAATTTACAATATAGAAAAGTAGATACCATGGCCAAAGAGGGTGAAATTTAATACAGGGCAGGGATTCAAACTATTAATGGAACAAAAATAAAACAAAGCCATAGTCCTAATAGATGCAGAAAAATATTTTATAAGGTTCAAAACTCATTAATGTTAGAAAGTCTTTGGTTATCTATTGAAAACTTAATGGTGAAATAGGAAATCTACTTCCACTACAATTGGGCATAGCATTAACACAAAAGTTTCTATAGCAGGGGAGGAAAAACATCCAAAATTTATATGGTCATATGAAAAACCCCAGATAGTCAAAGAAATCCTGAAGGGGGAAAATGATAGATATATAGCAGTTTCTGACTTCAAATTATATTACAGAGCCATAGTGACACAAACAGTATAATACTGGCACCCAAACAAACAGCCACGATTGTCCTCTGGCCTCCACACACATTCATATACACAAGTATACCTGCACACTCATAACACATGCATAAAAGACACTACCAATGAATAAATTTGATTCATAGATTAGGAGAAAATATTTGTAAATCATGTATCTGATAAGTTACCCAAGTATGCTCGGCAGTAGTGGCGCACACCTTTATCTCCAGCACTTCAGAGGCAGAGGCAAGCAGATCTCTGTGAGTTCGAGAGCAGCCTGGTCTACAAGAGCTAGTTCCAGGACAGGCTCCAAATCTACACAGAGAAACCCTGTCTTGAAAAAAACAAAACCAAAAAATACCCAGGTTTGGACAAAAATAAAACAAAGCCATAATCCTAATAGATGCAGAAAAATATTTTATAAGGTTCAAAACTCATTAATGTTAGAAAGTCTTTGGTTATCTATTGAAAACTTAATGGTGAAATAGGAAATCTACTCAAAAACACAGGCAGGGAGGCTGGAGAACCGGCTCAGTACTCTTGTAAAGGACCAGTATTCAATTCCCAGCATCCACACCAAGCAGCCAACAACTACCTGTGATTTCAACTCCAGAGACTCCTGTGCTTTCTACTGGCCTCAGGCATCTGAGCACACATGAGCCTACATACCCACAGACATGAAGACTTGAAAAAAAATTGGAAAATAAAATTAAAAACTGAGGGTTGAAACTAGGAGTATAGCCTAATTGGTGGTGGTTTGCCTAGCATGCACAAAGCCTTGGTTTGGATCCCCAGGACTACATAAAAAGGTATATACCTGTAATCCCAGCATAAAACAAAACAGAAAGCTGGAAGTGGTAATGGTGGAGGCAGGAGGAATATGAGCTTGAGGCCAGCGTGGGCTGCATGATGAGACCCATTCTGAAAAAAGCAGGGGAGACAGAAAACACTACAATAGGCATTTCTCCAATGATGGCAAATAAGCACAGGAAAAGATGCTCAGTATCGTGAATCAAATATAGATTCAAAATTGAGTTGCCATTACACACTCATTAAATTGACTAATTGACCAGCAACTAATACACAACCAGGAAATAAATATTGGTGAGGATGTGAAGAAACTGAAACTCTTGTGAATTGTTGGTAAGATTGTAAAACTACTCTGTAAAACAGGGTGACAGTAACTAAAAACTTAGAATTACAAAATAATCTGCTAATCTCAAATATAGGTTTGTAGCAAAATTTTTCAAAACAGTTAAAACATGGAAAAATTTCTGCATGGATGAGTAAGTGAACAATGTAATATTCATACAATAAAACAGTTTACTCTTATGAAGAAAGGAATTCTGACCTATGCTACAACATAGATGGACCGTGTGGATAGTATCTGTTCATACAATAAAAATATAACCAGTCAGAAAAAGAACAAATGGAATATTTATACTTCCACTTATGAGTTAGTTAAATCACAGAATAATAGTTGTCAACTCTGGGGGTAGGTAGAAACCAGAAGTTACTGCTAGTAACTTCTAGTACAAAGTATCAGTTATTCAAGATGAAAAAAGTTCTAGAGATGGGTTATAGTGCAACATTGTAAAAACATTTCATACTTTTGAATCATACATTTTAAAATAATTAAGGTGCCAAGCACAGTGAAACACTCTCCTGGAATCACAGCACAGAAGAGGTGAGAGCAGGAAGGAAGATCAGAAGTTCAGGATCATCTTAAACTATGTAGAAATTTTGAAAACAACATAAACCATATGAGACCCTGTCTCAAAAATGAAAAATGAATAACCTAAATTTTTAAATGATTAAGGAATAAATTTTGAGTATCTTGAAACCAAAGAAGAATGTTCAATAATCTTAGTCACAAGAAAATTCGGGTTTAAAGTATAGTGGATTCCATTTCACACACTTGAGGAGCTGAAGTCAGTTTTGTATAGCTCAGATGTCAGTGAAGATATAAATCAGCTGGAACTCACACATCGATGGTGTTAGTTTATTGTAATATACAATAGAAAACTTTCCCATTTTCTTTACAATCTAACCTATGCACAATTCATTAATCTCAGTTACTTGACTGAAATGAAATTCAAGTTCACATGTTTAGGAAAGCCTTATTCATAAAAACAAAAAGTAACCCCTTAACTATCACAGGAAAAAAAGTTAAAACATAATTATACAGTCACACACTAGACTACAATTCATCAATTAAAGGAACATGCTTGTCTATACACTCAGTAACATGGATAAATCTCACAAATAGTTTTTTATAAACAGAAGTTGCTGGGCACATCAGAGTACATATCTGGTTCTGTTCATATGGAATCCAAGAAAAAGTTTTATAAATTTCAAGGTGACTTAAAAACACAGAAACATGATAGGAAAGGAGTCTAAAGGATCTTAATGATTAAACGGTTCTACATTTTATCTCAGTGCATTTTATCCTATATTAACTATGCTACAATAGCTTATATATTTTAAAGTATTGATAGAAATTATGCCTTTCAATTCATTAAAATAATGACTACTAGGAAAGCCACTCCCTGATACCAAGAAACTTGACTATTACAGGAAACTGCTTAGTTTCTCACTCTCAGAGGAAAGTGAAGCACAAATCAGCCCTGAGGACCAATAGGTTGATATTCATGGATTCTGTAAATGGAAAATATCCATTTGAAAAGATTGTGTCTGATGAAAACAAAGGAAATTATTTGAAAGGAGAAAAGGGACCAGCAAGAGGGAAATAGAAGGCTTGCAAGATGGGTTCACCAGTAAAAGCACTTGCACACAAGCCTGAGTCTGATCCCTGGAACCCACCTAAAAGTAGGAGAGGACAGACTCCACTCCGACCTTTGCATGTGTGTCATGCATGCACATCATGTTCACACACACACACACACACACACACACACACACACACACACACACACACACACACTTTAATTTTAAAAGGAGAGTAGGAGAATGGACATTGAAGGAGAGGAACAAATAAAGTATAATGGCACACACACACATAATACATGAAATTGCTATAATGAAACCCATATATATGCTCCAAGTTAATTCAAATTTAACCCATTTGTATGTTTTTTCATTTAAAACCTATTATACATGGTGAACATGATAAGCACGGTCATACCAACCACTGATCTTTTGATACTGAAAAATAATTATGGCCAAGTGTGGTGGAATATGCCTTTAATTCTAGCCATCGGAGACATAGCCTGAGTTCAAGGCCCTGAGTTCGAGGCCAGCCTAGTTTACAGAGTGAGTTCCAGGACATCCAGAGCTAAAAACTGGAAAAAAATATGAACTGTACTGTACACATCCAAAAATTTGTCATTCCTTAATCACATAGTATTTATATTGTAGTAGTCTTTACATGTGTGTCAGCTTATAACAAAAACTTGAGATGGCCAATTTAGAAGAGTTTGTGACTTACAGTAGGCCTGTTGCCTTTTGGACCACTATCGGGGCAACACACTATGACAAAGAATATATAGTTCATCAGTTCTAACCTGTGTGTCTCGGCCCTTTTGGAGTTCAAATGACCCTTCTACCTAAGATCATCAGAAAACACAGATATTTACAATTCATAACAGTAGCAAAATTACAGTTATGAAGTAGCAATAAAAATGTTTTGGTTGGGGGTCACCACAACATGAGGAACTGTATTAAAGGATTGAAGCATTTGGAAAGTTGAGAACCACTGACATAGTTTAGCAGAATTGCTCAAGTTCATAGGTGAGAAGTGAAAAATAAGTGATAGGATGGGATTCCACTATTCCCTTCAAGGACATGCTCCCCATAATAAAGAACGTCCTAGTAGGCCCCACCCTGTAAAGGCTCTACTATCTCCTAAAGGTAACACACTGGGAAGCCACTGATTACCAAATGACATTTGAGTAGGGCATTTAAGATCCAACCTACAACAATAAATAATATAGGTTTAGAAGTAGGTGGTGGTGGCACATGCCTTTAATGTTAGCACTTGGGAGGCAGGTGCAGGCAGATCTCTTGTGAGTTCGAAACCAGACTGGTCTACAGAGCAAGTTCTAGAATAGCCAAGGCTACACAGAGAAATCGTATCTCAAAAAACCAAAGTGTGTCGTGTGTGTGTGTGTGTGTGTGTGTGTGTGTGTGTGTGTGTGTGTGTGTGTGTTTGGTCTAATTTTAAAAGGATGCAGGAGAATATACATTTATGTTATGTACAAATACATTTTATAAAAGGCATTTCAGCATCTGTACATTTTCTTACCCATTGAGCATCTGGGAACCATGTGAACAACACACTATAACATTGAGGAATACATTCAAACTGCAGAAAAAAAATAAGTGCCCAAACAATAATAAATGAGCTAGTCTACTATTGGCAGATCAATGGTGATAAATGCTATAAAATTAAAGGCTTTGGTATTATCAACCAAAAAACACTACTAATTCATGGAATAATAGGACTTAAGAAACATAATAAGGAAATCTTTTTATAAGTTTAAATTTTGAATAAGAAAAAGTGAGGAAATTTGGAATATTTGAGCAAAACATAGAATAGTATAGGATATAAGAACTAACAGAAAGCAGGCATCACAATATTGCTTTTCACATTTTATAGTTTGCTGCCAGGGACAGAAATAATACATAAGGAATATCTTGTATTATGTAATGTCAAAGAGTAAAAAGTTCTTCCTGTAGCTCAGTGGAAAATTAGATATTTGTCTTAAAATCCACACACATTTTTCTTTCATCTGTTTGCTCCTCTTTCCCTCATTCTCTTTAATAATTATGCTTTATCTCAGGTTCTCATTCATCTTCTCTCTTTTTTTTATTTTCCTCCTCTAGACCAGATTTCTGTTTCCATAACTGATGCTCAGGAGGCTTTTTAGGCACTACCCCTGACACACACCCCTGTTTTTCACATCATGTGACCATAAAACCTAAAACAAATATATATTGAGTATCTTTCTGTACTGTGGCTCCTTGAAAGACCAAAAATCATGGTAATATCTAAAGGGCTTGTCCCAAACCCAAGTTTTGTCCCTTTCAAGAGTAATGTTCTCCATGAAGATGCATGCTCCAAATAATGAGGTCTCTGGAAGAATCGATAAAGTCATGCTTACCATGATAAAAAAAATCACTTTTACATATCTATCAAACAACTATAAGCCAAAGTTCTATGTTATGGAATAATCCTCTTGTACACTGTAAAGATTTGTCACTTGGATTGATATAATAAAACAAGAATTGGCCAATATCCAGGCATGAAGTAAAGGAGGGGCAATCAAACTAAGGATGATGGGAAGGAGAAGGGCAGAGTGTGAGGAGTTACCAGGCAGGTACAGAGGGAGCGGGAGGTGAACATGTCATGCCAATAAAGATACTGCCATGTGGCAGAAGGTAAATAAGAAATGTGGGTTAATTTAAGTGTAAGTTAGCTAGTAACAAGCCTGAACTATTGGCCCATCACTTGTAAGTAATATTAAGTCTCTGAGTGATTATTTGGGAACTGGTGAGTGGAAGAGAAACATCCAACACAGTTCTTCACCCTTTTATAAATGATACTATCTACTGTTGGTTATTTCACAGCACCTCCATTTTCAAAGAGCATCTTCCAGAGAGACTAAACTTGGAAAACACTGAGACCACAAAACATTATATTCACAGAATTCAAAGGGTAGGTTATTTACATAAATGTCTCTATCCACTAGTTTTTTCCTAGTTTACCATGAAGAAAATTATTGCTTTCTAATTTTTCTCTGAATTCTGAAGCTATACAGCCTCTTTGATACTTATAACCTATTATATAAAGTCATCAATTTCAATTGAGGATAAAGAATTAGGCTAGAAGAGAATACAAGTAGAAAAAAAAAAGAATTGAGAGAATAAAGAAAAAGGATGTGATCACGCTTCTCTCTCTTTTTTTTTAATCTATAAGGTCTCTTACAACTCTAAAAATTTTGTGATCTTAATATTCACACTCTGAGTTGTTCTCAAAAGAAGTTTTTTTTTATAAATTAGATGTTGCTTCAAGACTGGGGACTAATGCTATAGCATTTTAGGAAACTCCAGGAATACTAGACATCCTGCAGTACAGAACTTAGACTGAGTTCTGAGAGAAGTACTCAAGATAGAAGAAGACATGCACAGTATTGATTAAAGGAAATGGAGTTTAAAATACAAGGGAGAAAGAAGTGGACCAGGAGAGCCTTCAGACTCTTGTAGACCCTACAATAGAGCTCCAAGAAAGCCTTGGCCATGACAATAAGGGCACCCCAAAGTGCAGGAAATAACTTGAGAGGTCCCAGTTTTGGACAGACAATGCTGTGCTCAGCCATTGGTAGGGAGCAATCCAGAAAGTTTACAGCTCATAGCTTTAAGGCTGTGATGAATCCTCAAGATACAACACTTGGAAGGCTGTTGGCTAACTATAGTCCTCAGTTTGCTCTCTTGCTCTGTCTCTCTCTCTCTCTCCTCTCTCTCTCTCTCTCTCTCTCTCTCTCTCTCTCTCTCTCTCTCTCTCTCTCTCTCTCTCTCTTGCTCTCTGGTGTGCATGTATTACAAATAATACAAAGATAATTTGTTTATGACAAAGTGACTGTTTTGATGTTTTTATCTTTTTTCTTTTCAACCAGGATATTGGATACAGAATAAGAAATTTTGGGAGATTAAAATTCAGGAGTTCAGTTCCAGCCTGGAAAACAAGATGGAACTTTCCAGCCTGCACCAATGTTCACATTTCTGATTGAGTTACAAGATTTTTCTTCTTTTGACCTCAGAAGTCACTTGGAAACTTTGGGGAAAATTTCACCACATCTTTTACATTTTGCTTATGGTTAGCAGGAGATACATTAGAACTTAAAAGAAGTATCTCAGCCTCCAATATCAGTAGTGTTGCTGTAAACCCATCCCTAAGGTTTCCTATCCAGGCTTTGGCTGTCACACTTCATTGCCGGTGTAATTCATGTTCACAGTTTTACCATCACAGCCAGCCATATTTTTAGTGAATTGCTTTAAACTCTTTGCTGAAGTGTGTGTGTGTGTGTGTGTGTGTGTGTGTGTGTGTGTGTGTGTGTGCGCGCGCACGCGTGCGTGCGCGCGTGCATGCATGCGTGCATGCTTGTTTTGGTCTTTTTTAAGTTGTTCTTTTTTTACAGAGAGTTTTTCACATTTTTGTTAGGAAATTTTACAATACCATTAAGAAATGCTTTCCTAGTTTGCTATTTCCCAGTAGCTACTTCTCAGTAATGTCAGCTTTGATGGCATTTTTGGTAGTGTTTTTATTTTGTGTCTTAATCTTAGCACATGAACCATGCCATTATTAGTTTCTACTGGAGATAGTTATGTGTGTTTGGTATGTGTGCCTGCTCATGTGTGTCTGTCTGCACATATGTGCACATGGGTGTGGAGGACAGAGATTGACTTTGGATGCTTTTATTTATCATCTATCCAGTTTTTTTTTTTTTTGAACAAGGTCTCACACTGAACCTGTAATTCATCAGTTCAGATAGGCTGGCTGGCCAGTGAGTTTCAGGGATCTGCCTGTCTCTGCTCTCTCAGTACTGGGTTATCTGTCATATTAGATAAGCACTTTACTGGCTGAGTTATCTCTCTAATACCCTGCTGGAAACAGTTTATCCAGAGTTCTTATTTGGGTCTTTCATCTTCGTCATCTACTTTATCTTCTTCATAAGTATCATTTCCTGATATTTGTTACTTCATAACTTTCATATCTATATTTCTTGCCTTTTTCATAGTCTTTTCAGTCCTACTTTTCCTTCTTGTCATTGTAGCCTCTTTTAAGCCACCATGTTTGGGAAGCTGCTCTTCCCTGATCCCCATGGGCCTATCCTCTTGAGAATGTAATTTGTTAAGGCAAACTACAGTTCCTGTCACCCAGTGAGCTTGAGGGTTCAAGTGCTGCTTGTCTTTCTACTCCACTGTCTGATTCTATTTTCCTTCCGTTGTTTTTCTAATCCTGATGAAAAATGTATATTGACAATTATTTACGTCTCACTCTGGAATTGCTGCACATGTCCTCCCACAGTTACAATTTGGAATCAAAATGTTACCAGATTGGTCACCTATGTGTTTTTCTCTGCCTAGTAGCATTTTGTTTTCCTATTGATCTAGCTCAGTTATCCCTGCCAAGATGGGAAATCCTTGCGAGTTCTCAGCTGGACCCAGAGTTCAAAATGCCCAAAGAGTAACCATAACTTAGAGTCTAATGGGACTTTTGTTGGCCCCTGGAAGAAATTATCCCATTTGGAGGTCAGAACTTTTATACCTTCAAAGTAAAGAGTTCTGGGACAGAACGAAGTATCCTCTAACAAGTCAGTGGTACTGATGTTCAGTGGGGTCACTTCTGCTTCCTTAGCTTTGTTCTTGGACCCATGTGTTTGTTCTTCTTAGTAGGGACAATACCTTTAGAAGTCTCTGAGTTTGAGTTAGTGTTATGTTCTGTTTCTTGAAAGATGGCACTTAATGCTTATGAAATCCTGCTTCTGAACTGGCACTTCAGCTAAACCATTATTACATTGGAAATAAATGTTAGGGTTAAGATGAATTTTAAGGTTAAACAGCAAGATCAGGAACACTGAGGAAGGTAAATAAGAAGGCTTGCAGCTGGGTATGAAATAGTAAGCTGACCAGATAAGAGAAAGTACAGAACTCTGAGAAAAACAAAAACTGTCTCTGGATGTTTCAGCTGGCCCCAGGAGTCCCACCCTACACACTTCCAGGAGCACGTGCAAGACTCATTGCCCTTTCCTTTAGTAAACATCTAAACTTATAGGTAGTTACACCTTCATAGATAATCATGCATCTAACTGTAACAGACTGAATTGTGGGTAATGGCTTCTAAGAAAACTTGCACTATTTTAGGAAGAAGACCTTCCTAGACTACCCCAGGCATAGGAAATGGAAGGGATACTGGTGGACAAAGTCCAGGTGCTGGGGGTATCCCTTTGCCACTGACACACAGCTCAGACCACCCTCCAGTCTTTGCCTTCTCACCTGCCAAAGTAAACCTTGGTAGCTCTACCTGTGCCCTAATGTGAATTTCTGTCCTTGAGGAGCACAAGAACTGAGCCTGCTGCTGCACTTGAAATTGGAAGGAATGTGGGAGGAGACGTCTCTCCTCATTGCTGATACCTTCAGTATATTCAGGTGCTGATATCTAGTCAGGAGTTCACATATCATCTTTTTACTGCGAAGTAGGTCCCCTGTTTGGATACTCTGTTGAATTGAACCCCATGCCTGTGGATCAGGCCTTCTTTAAGGCCCTAGGTGACAATAATATAGGCTAAGGCCCTGCAAGGCAGAGCAGCAAATCCACACCCAGAGTAAGTATTTATCCCTGTCAGCATGGACCACTAGCCACTCCAAAATGGAAAGAGTCCATGTTATTGACCTGCTACCAGGTGTCTCATTTGTCTCAAGTAATAATGCCATATTGGGCACACAATGTAGGTCCTGTTGCTAGCAGGTTCTTCAGAAATAGATGTAGGTGTGGATTGGCTTTTGTAACTGGGAATTACATGTAGCCTCTGCAAACATGACTGCTCATGTTATAGTTGCTTACCCCCAACTGATAGAATCCCTAGTCTATTTAACACAGATGTCTTATTTCCATTTCTCTTTCAAGACTGGGTGTTCTAATCAGAATGAACATGTCATTAGCCACTAAGAAAGACAGGCAACTTTAGGGACAGAATCCTATATGGTAATACACCTTTGGGGTGTCCTTCTCTTATTTGCAGCTACAGCTTTGTGGTATGAGCAGAGCATTACTTGAGGCATGTTAGTGGATTATGCTCCAGAATGTGTCTACCATACTTTTTAAATTATGACCTCCAACTGTGCTTGCTTGGGAATGTATTTACTATGCTTCAGTACAACCTGGGCATGCTTAGTATTGGACCACCCCTTAGAATATGCATAGGCTCTCTGAATAAAATTCCTGTGCTGTCTTTGTGGGAAGAACTTTGTTCGGAAAGAACACCTGTGTTCTCTCTTGTCCATTGCAAATAATCTTTCTCTATTCCTTTTGTATATTGACTGTGCTTATTTTGGCTTTCACTCAACAATATGTGAACCCATTATATTTGATTACAATATAATAAAAAATCTTCACCCCTTGTGTTTCCTCTCATATTTCCACTTAATACCTCTTTCCTCACTTCATTGCCTCTGATCTTCCAGTCTTCTCTTTCCGGGTCCTGTTCCTCTGGATAGGTCATTGCCATTGCCCAGGAATCTTCACAACAGAGTTATTCTACATAGGTGAATGAACAGTTATAGGGTGAAAGCTCTGCTCTTTAGGAAGATTTTCCCTCTCACTGTCCTTTAGGGTCACCCTTGAATGCAGCTTCCTTTTACATGCCTATCCAGCTTTTTAAAGCATCAGCACGTCTCTTAGTGAGGACAGTTTGAGGAAGGTGTGCTGGCTCAAACACAGCCCATGGTCATAAGCATCTTGGATATAGGTACATGCTGCTGGTACAATACATCATTTCCATACTACCATGAACTGTGGCTAGGCCCATCTTCTTCATGACTTAGCTCATAATGAATACTTCAAACACATAATAACTTGGTACAGCATAGTCAATTTTTTTTTGTCTTTGCTTGAGTCTGGTACCATACCTAGAATGGTTTGTTGAAAGGAGTAAAATCCTCTGCTAGAGATGGTATTGCCTAAAACCTGAGATGCATATATTGTGATCTCCCATGTATGTGAAAGTCTACACTGACTGTTACAAAACCCTTGTTGCTCTGGGGTGTGCTCTAAATAAGTGATTTCCTATGTGGCTTTGTCACTTCCAGATCCCACTTTTATCTATAGGACACAATGTACTGTGTTTCACTCTGGAGGGAATGTCTCCATCTACCAGTGTCTATTGGACCTCTACAAGTTTTTCATGTTGTTTGATTTTCTTAGGGTTTATCTTATGCCTTCTAAATACATGTGTCATACCAAGGCTTCTGCAATATAAATGACATCCTTCTCAATTGTTACATTATTGGGACAAAGTATTAGTGTAACATCAAGACCTCTTCAGACTATACTTTAACAGAGGTTACAGAGTTAATATATTCTTTGAACAAAGCTAGAAATAGTGTCTTTACAAGATTATGAACAAAAAACTTCTTATCCTTGATTCTGATTTAAACATGAAAGAATACTTTCACCAAATCATTGTCCATAAATCATGTGCCTGAAACCTGATTCTGCCTTAGCAATTACAGCATGTTCAGCATAGTTTCAGCTGGGTCTAATGCTTGACTGAGCTTGCTGTCATAATCTGCATGCAGTCTATATGGTCTAGAGTAATACTAATCACTCCCACTTCCCTGTGGTATTTTTTCTCTCTCTCAGCTTGGGTAGAAGACAATTTTGAGGCTTTTGAGCTTTCTTACTGTATATATTAGGTCTATAAGTACCAATGATACCTAACATAATTAAATATTCAGACCAGGGAAGTAGATTTTTCAACCAGGTTTCTATTGCTGTGAAGAGACACCATGACCATGGCAACTCTGATAAAGGAAAACATCTAACTGGGGTTGGCTTACCGTTTCAGAGGTGTAGTCCATATCATCATGGAGGGAATATGGCAGCATGCAGGCAGACATGGTTCTGGAGAAGGAGCTAAGAATAGAGAAGGAGCTACATCTTGATCTGCAGATGACAGGAAGTGAATTGAGACACTGGGCATGGCTCGAGCATATATGAAACCTCAAAGCCCACCTCTGCAGTGACCTCTAACAAGGCCATACCTCCTAGTAGTGCCACTCCCTATGAGCTTATGGGGGCCAATTCCAACTACTACAGCCTGTGACTCATAAGCTGTAACTATAATAGGAAGCTGACACAATCTTTTGAGTATCCATGGGCCTTAGATGACTTAGTAGACCCATTCCCACTGTAAAAGTATCCTGTAAGAGGTGCCCAAGATCTTTTGTGGAAATATTTTTATGGAATGCCTGGAGGAACATTACAATACACATTTGTTACCAAGGGCTGATGAGAAAGTCCATACAGGATGATTATGCCATCAAACAATT